AGCACCCCTGGATTCGATCCCTGATACCATAAAAAAAAAAAAGATAATAATTGAAGAAAAGGTTTCTTTGTACTGCTTAAGTATAAAAAGCAAGCATTCCAAATAATGCAAAAGATATCACCAGATACAGATATGCAATTACTTGTGTGATACAACATGCAAAACTGACATTCCTATGCATTACTGACTATTTTGGGTTTTGGCAGTGTCACTATATAATTTGGAAAATGGCAAAGACCAATAAGGAATAGGATATGCCTCTATAGACTCAAACGTTATCATTCTAGAACTCCCTCTAAATTACTTAGGACACATTAGAATTTTAGTTTCTATTCATATTTAAAATGTCTTTACTATTTATACAAAAATTCTAAGTTACTGTTTTGGGAAAAATAGCTGCAAAACCAAAATATGTTGATTTATTTCTATCCAATATTTGATATCAATCATGGCTGAGTTGCCTAAAGACAAAAACTCCAGAAAATAAAAATGACAAAAGTGAATTTGTGTTTATACAAAATAATAATTTCTTAGCTAGAAAAACTAATATTGTGTTTTTTAAAAGATATTTATTTTTTAGTTTTCAGTGGACACAACATCTTTATTTGTATGTGGTGCTGAGGATCGAACCCAGCGCTGCGCACATGCCAGGCGAGCACGCTACCGCTTGAACCACATCCCCAGTCCAAGAAAAACTAATATTGTTTAAATAACATTTTTAAAGTCCTTCTATTTATAAATATTTCAAAAGATTATTAAAATACCACATGCAAAGATCTATGGTGTTTATAAATATTTTTTTATACTTTCTATAAAAACCAAGAAGAAAAGCTAATCAATAAGAGTAATGTCTTAGTTACTTATTCTCCCATTACTTTTAAAAAAATTGGTTGTAACAAGAAATGATTAAAAAATAAATAAATAAAAGTTCTGTGTTAGGAAGTTAAGGCAAATAAATTAGGTTATACATTAAAGTAGAAATAGCATAAGAGTGACATGAAAAGCAAGCAAATACTATCAGGACCTGATGTGAATTATTAAGAGACCTTCTTGAAGTATTAACATTAAGCTGAATCCTAAAGAAAGAAGATAGGGATAACAAGGTAAATACTATAGGCAGAAGCATATGACATACAAAGATATCAAAGCAACAAAACAAAATCATGGAAAGAAAAGCAAAGAATAACAAAGGCTAGCATAAAAGACTACCAAAATTCAAAAGAACATACCCTTTGACCCAGCAATTCCTGAATGTGTATGTATAAGACATTTCATTGTAACACTGTTTAGAATGGCAAAAGATTACAAAAAAAATCAATACAACCATTGGTACGGGAGTATTACGTAAATTATGACACAAGTGTAAAATGGACCAAAGAAGCTATTTACTAACGTGAATCATGTCAAAGTAAAACAAAAAAGAATAACATGATGTCAGTTATGTTTAAAATCAACATAGACACACTTGTTAGTATATGTACACAGATTATCAATGAAAAGATGCACAAAAATCTAGTAAATATGACTGTTTCCAGAAGACAGAATGAATGTCAAGGGAAGAGAGTAAATGAAAAAACATTCACTGCATATTCCTTAACCTTTTGAATTTTTAACCATGTATGTCTTCTTTTTTTTATTAGCTACACATGACAGTACAATGATCTTGACAGTTCATACATTTGAATCAAATGGGGTATAATTTCTCATTTTTCTGATTGTACAGGTTGCAGAATCACATTAGTCATATAGTCACCTATATACATACAGCAATAATAATGTCTATTTTATTCTGCTGCCCTTCCTATCCCCCCTTCCCCTCCCCTCCCCTCCCATCACTTCTCTCTACCCAATCTAATGTGATACACTTTTTTTCTTTAAAGAAGTAAACTTCATAAGTTTTATGAAAAAGACAAGAATAGGAAGAGAGGGACATACTAGGAAGTCATTAGCGTGCTAAGTGGATATGTACAGTGGAAAAGGTCAGGAAAATTTTTCCTGCTGGCTTTTGGTTGGGGGGGGGAGAAAAATTAGCCTTGATTTCTTTATCCAAAGCTGCTGATTACATTTAAGAGCATTTTTATGCTGCATTTATTTAATAACTGAAAGTTGTTCCTCCTACATGAAGTTTATATTTCTCAATCATATTTCATTCCAGGGGATCAAGTTCCTTAGACATTGTTATGTGATAATCAGGAAAAATGGGCTTTCTAAACTTAAAAAAAGTGGCTTAGGGTTGTAGATAAATGTAATAAAAACATAATTCAAGACTCATTGTGCTTCCACATAGTCATGTTTTAAGAATCTCAAAGCACACCTAATAGAAATAAGAGATATTAGAAGAAAAGCCGACCTTCTTGCCTCATACCTGGGCACACACACAAAAGCCTTAACCATGATATAATCTCAATATCTAGACCTAACAAAGAAAATTATTCTTTCATTACATGAAAAAGGAAAATGATCTCAATTACTACAGAACTAAAAGAAAGTCCAGCCAAGAAAATAACAGCACCTAATTCTCAGCAATCATTAAGGAATTTTAAGAGTTCATGTATATCAGAAATCACTCCAGAAGCCAGGCGCAATGGCACATGCCTGTACTCTCAGTGACCTCAGAAGGCTGAGGCAAGAGGACTCCAAGTTCAAAGGCAGCCTCAGCAACTTAGTGAGACCGACTCAAAATAAAATAAAAATAAGGGGTGGGGTGTAGACCCACAGTAGAGTGTTCCTGGGTTTAATCCCCAATCACCCCAGAGAATCCATGCTGAATTCCTCAAGCTGGTTATTTGTTCTAAAAAATTCTTTCCCTATTGTTATGGTTTAGATATGTGGTATCCCCCCCCAACAGCTTATGTGTGAGACAATGCAAGAAAGTTTAGAAGTGAAATGATTGGGCTAACCCAATCAATGAATTAATCCCCTAACAGGGTGACTGGTGACTACAGACCGAGTGTCCCTGGAGGAGGTGGGTCATTGGGGGAGGCATGCCTTTGGTACATATTTTGTGAGCTGAACTTAGTCATTCTTTGCTTCTTGAGCATGTCCTGAGATACTTTCCTCCACCACTTTTCTGCCATCATGTACTGCCTCATCTCAAGCCCCAAGGTCCCAGCTATCTAGGGACCAAGATCTCTAAAACCATGAGCCCTCAAATAAGCTTTTCCTCTTTTAATTATTCTTGTCAGGTTTTCGGATCACAGCAATTTGAAAAAGCTGACTAAAATACCTACCAGTAGGAACATCAGAATATGAAAATTAAGCAGCTAAAAACTAAATCATGTTCACAATTGGGCCATAGAAACTAGAAAGGGCAGAGATGTGGGAAGATTTAGAGGGAAAGTAGAATTATGTTATATAGAAGTACAATAACTTTTCTAAACTTCCAAAGAATGAAGGGCCTTGTTTACCCTGGGGACCAAGAACAATATAAAATTAGTTAGTGGGTCTCATAAAGACATGTGGACAAATTACTATTAATGTGTGTATTATTAACCAACTTCACAAACATCTAGATTCCAATTCTGTTCATGATATCTAGTGGATGTATAACACTGAACAAGTTGCTTCTCTTGTTTCGACTTCTATGAGATGGGAGTAACACTTCCCACCTTGCTTCGAATTTTTTTGCTGCTTGGTTTTTAATGAGGATCAGATATAAAATTTTCTGCTTGCCACATTATAAGCATTCAATAAGTGAAAATTAATAACAGAATACAAAGATTAAATCCCTATTCAAGAGTCCAACTAGGTGACTGTGTTAGAAATAACCCGACTAGTAATATCTTAACAATCATTGCTACCTTTCCTAGTTAAGAGTAAGGGAATTCTAAAAATTCTTATAAAATTAGTCTCTCCTAAGAGGAAATTTAAATGGCATGATACATAAGTTCCTTTCAAATCAAGACCAGGATTAAAAGTAGTTATTCAGGTCAGATCCTCAAGACTATACTTTTCAGCAAGGCAACAAATTTCAGTCCTTTGAAGTTGTTAACTTTTAAACATTTCTCTATTCTAAAAAAATAATCTATTAGGCAATAAAGCAAGATATATTTCTATATCTTGTGTGCTGTTTTTAAGCAAAGGAAAAGAAGATATATACTAGGTACCAAAATCATGACTAATAAGAATCAAACTCATTCAGGAGTGGCAAAGGCTGTTGTCCAACACCTACAGGGCACCACATCTACTATTTATTACCTGAATCCCTACAGGGCCAACTAACCCAGAAGATGTCAGTTATCTCTTCTGACAGCACATGTAGCCAGAGAGGAAGCCCCTATAACACAGTCCCTCTACCACTATGTCAGGATGGGCACTGTAACACTCTGCAGCATAACTCCTAATGGATATGAATAGTATTTTCAGAGCATCAGAACCCATATCAGAAGAGTGACTATAACACCATGGATTTCTACTTTTCTTTTGGATATTTTTAATTGGTGTAACAAGACAGTGTATGATGGCAATTACTCTAAGAGTTTCAAAGAACCAAGAAAATTTTGTCCAGTATTTTTCTTAGCATACATGTTATTTATAAGGGTTTTATTTTTATAACAAAATACCCTACCCTTTGTTAAAGATCTTTCTTTCTTTCTTTTTTTTTAAAAGAGAGAGCGAAAGAGTGAGGGGGGAGAGAGAGAGAGAGAGAGAGAGAGAGAGAGAGAGAGAGAGAAGTTTAATATTTATTTTTTAGTTATCGGCGGACACAACATCTTTGTTTTGTATGTGGTGCTGAGGATCGAACCTGGGTCGCACGCATGCCAGGCGAGCGCGCTACCGCTTGAGCCACATCCCCAGCCCCTGTTAAAAATCTTTCTAATGTATATTATTTATAATTCAAATAAATAAGTTTGTTTAGTCAAATGTATTCAACTTCTGCTCTTCTTTTTTTAAAAAAAGTATCATCTAGAATAGTTAAAATATCACTACTTTATCAGAAATTGTTTTAGAAGAAGTGTAAAGACTAATTTTGTTCTAAAATATCCTTCTTTAATACTTACCTAAAATTTGGCATTATCTTCCAAACAACATAAAACAAAGATTCCGGGCTAAATGCAGTTTGGCTGCCTTGCCATAAAGCACAGAGTGTTTTTCTAAACTCTTCTACCAAAGACCTAGAAAAGAGGAAGGAACAATATCATTAGCATTACTAATAAGGGGCTACTATTTCAATATAACGTTTAATTGTCTAAAATGCATAAGTGAAAAATAAAAACTTTAAAAGGGCTTAGTCTTTTCTGAACTACATTTGACCACCAAATAAGAGCACCTCAAAAACCCATAGACATATCAGTTAATTGCTGACAAAACTAGTTTTTAAGCACATCGTTAACTCTGAGAATACTACAGTTCTGCCAAATTTATACATTCTGAATTTTTTTAAATGCACAGAAACAATAAAGCAGTGGATAATTTATAGCCAAATCCTTTAAGAATGTCCATTTTAAAAACATAAAATAAGCAATAGCATCTCTTTCTCCATCTCCTGCATTCCTGCATTTTTTTTTCCTTTTCCCTCCTTCCTTTTTATTTAGTACTAGGGACTGAACCCATGGACACTTTAGCACTGAGCTACATCTCCAATTCTTTTTGTTTCTTATTTTGAGACAAGGCCTTTCTAAGTTGCTGAGACTGGCCTGATTCTCCTGCCTCAGGCCTCCCAGGTCACTGGGATTACAAGCATGTGTCACTGCCCTGCATTTTTCCTTCTTGCCCATCACTAGGAACTCTTCTTAGATGTTAACCTGAGAACATTTGCTCTCTTCTGCCTCAGAATTCATGTGGTCACAAAATTTTTAATGCTCAAAAATGTACCCAGACTCTCAAATCCAAATTTAAAAGTCAAATTCTTCCATGGCCATTTTTATTCAGGTATCTCTGGTTTCCAATATGAATTTTCTACTGGAGGTCCTCTTGTTACTTCAAATTCAATGTGATTTAAACAGCTCAAGTACCTACTATTCTCTTTACTCTCCCAACTGTCACCCAGTATCCATTTTGTTCTACTCTCATAAGAATAGGACTACCATTTTTGCTAAGTGTACGAACTGTCAGAATAAAGAACTGTGAGTGTACACAACTTTAGGGAAATTTCCTTAAAGAGAAAGAGTAGTTCTTATTGATCTGTTTCCTCTTTCCTCAAGCTGGAATGAAGATGTAATGGCGGATAAGAGTCTCACCTTAATGGTTGCTCCAACAGAAACCAGAGGAACTTGATGACTTTGTGAAACGACCCTGGGCAAATAACCTCTGACTCTTACATGAGAAAATAAACCATGGATGTTTAAGTCACTGTTAATTTTTATTTTCCATGCATGTAGCTATAACTACATATTCAACTTCAACTTCTCTGTCAATATAACAACCACACCCTTGGATACTCAATTAATGCATATATCAGAGAACCTCGATACCTTCCTTCTCAACCCCTATAATCTAAGTCCCTGGGATACAAATTGTATATCTGACTTCCTAGGACCTGAACCTCTTCCTACATTTGGGAAATTTGCCATTGTAAGCATCTTAGTGGGAGTCAGAGCCTGCTGCCTACCAGAAGCTGAAAAGTCCAGATTCTGGCTTTCTCAGCCTCCCTCACAGTCAGAACACATATGTGGCCTGAGTTCTCAACATCTGAAGCACAGTAAGTGACAAAAAGAATCAAGGACAGCACCAAACCCTCTCTGTCGGTGGTAGCAGGAAAGATCATCACCCAGAGTCCAGGGACAGCAGTTAAGGGGCCTTTACCAGCACCCATCTCCATTAGGAACTGTGGCATCAGGCTGTGCAGGAAGGCAGCAGTGTCCTTACAGGACAGTTCTATCCCCTCCTACCCAACTGAAGCCTGCTTGAATGCAAGCACTTTCCACCTCGTCCTTCATACTGCTATAAAATAAAACTCCCTTCCAACACCACTCATGTGACATTATTCCATTCCTGCTCTGATGCCTGGTTTTAAAGTTTCCCCATCTTGGGGATCTACCCATATTGCCCATTTTTCTAACATATTCTATCCTACTCTTCCTCAGACACTGAGGAAGGACACTGTCAGATTATAAAATGATGTTTCAAAACGAGTGGCAATGGGAGTGTGTAGATTTGGGACAGGCAGTCAGGGAAAACATTAATTATATACAGATTACAAGTCACTGCTCTATTTCAGAAAAGACACGAAAAATCGTGATTATATAGCAGATCTTCTGAACCCTAAATAGGAAAAGGCTATAATGAATTTAAGTTTGGTCCTTAATATCTGTTTTTCCCCTCTTCATATCAATTAGAAATTGTATTGCCCTACAATTAATCTGTTGGCTACAAATTAATTTTATTAGCCAAGACAGGTTTACTGAACACTATCAGACAAGTCAAGTCACATAAACTAATGATATTCATGTTAGTCTATACCTAGAACTCTATCTAGATGTCAATTCTAGAATGCCCAAATTAGCAAAGACTCAACAAGTAGAATGCTAAATTTATCCTTCTTGTTATAGTAAACAGAAAGAAAAGAATTTCAACAATTATTAAGATTGCCAGCTAGATACTTAAAATACAATTTTCCCTACAGTTTTTTTTTACGTGCCTATGAACTCAAATAATACAATAAAAATCGCTAGTGAGAGTCATGTGTTTTGCAGCTCAAAGCCAGAAAGGACATATTCTGATAACTCACACATTGTTATCCCCTTGGCTCCTGGTGTGATATGTTCGCCTTCCTGCTGTTTTCCCATTCCTTAACTCCACAGCGGGCAGTTCTTTGAAATAACAGCAAAACTGCTCAATGTTACTATTTTAAAAGAAAGGTAAGAAAATGATTATTTTTTTAAAAAAAGAAAAGAACAGAATTTAATATAACTGTAAAGAAAGTTCTATGAAATCTAGCTATGGATTTTGAAAGTGTAATCTTTCAATTAATTGTCACATTTTAAGTTGTATTAAATATGATCTCTTGTATTGAATTGCTTCATTATAGTTCTTCATGCACTAAACAGTATGGATAACTTTGTAGAAATGAACAAAGAACTTAAAATCTCTCTTCAAAAATATCTCCAATTTTCCTTACATCTATTGATTGACACCATTACTCTCTTTAGGGTGCTTGTTTCTAGGTATTTGATAATTTCCTTAAATAAAAACAAACCATATTATTTATATAACATTATACAGAATCGTAAGAATGTACCTTTAAGGAAAGATCAAATATGGTTCTTCTCCTTATTAGCAATTTGATTTGGGAAGATAATTTACTCTAGCATGTGATACATCTAACACTATACAATTCTCAAAATATTCTGCTGATGTCAGACTTGTTGGCTGTTTCATTTTTATTATTTCTCTTACATTTTTTTAATTTATTTTTTTATTGGTTGTTCAAAACATTACAAAACTCTTGACATATCATATTTCATACATTAGATTCAAGTGGGTTATAAACTCCCATTTTGAAGATCTTCTAAATGTGTGATCTTATTACCATGCTGTAAACTTAACTAATGACTAAAATAAACTCTCTGAATAAGGGAACTGCAAACTGGTCCAAAGGCCAAATGTAGCACTTGATCAGGGAGTTTTTACATTTTTACAGTAAGTTTTACATGAGGAGGAGGGGGGGAGGAGAGGGGAGGAGGGGGAGGGGAGGGGAGAGGAGGAGAAGAACATGAACTAAGGACTAAATTATTTATTATTTATTATTTTTATTTATTATTTATTATTTATTATCCTGCCATTCACAGAAAAAGTGTGCTGATCCCTTCTGTAGTCTATTCAGGAAAAAATGAGAAATAAATAATAACAGCTAACAGCTATTTACTACCAAGTGCTGCTGTAAGACTTCTGACAATTATTTAATCTTCTCACTACCCTATGAAGTAGGAACAATTATTCCCAATGTTACTGATGAGAAAACTAAGACAAAGTCAGTTGAGTAACTTCCCCAAGCCATATGACTAGAGTTAGAAGCACAGCCTTTGCTCTTAAAACTTTCATGCAAGATACTTAAGCTCTGACTATAATGTTACCTGAGTGACTGAAGGATGGCATTCATGAAACATGTGTTGCCCAAATTCCGAAGGCCTGTCGCACAAATGGTAGTGGTACTTCCCTATAAAATGGAAAAGAAGAGGCCATTAGTAACGCCAAAGGAAGGCAGACTGTTTCAAATATCAAAGTTAAGCAAAAGCCTCACCTTGAAACTCTAGTATCAGGATAGTCTGAAAGTAGTCCTTTTCTGTCCCAAGAATATGTCAAACATACGCTCAATTTAGTCTCTATGTGTATAAATATTTTTTGAAGGCTATTCTGATCCTGGGGTGGTTCTAAATGAGAACAATGTTGTCAATGGATCTTTATTTTATTTATTTATATGTGGTGCTGAGAATTTAACTCAGTGCCTCACACACAGTAGGCAAGCACACTACCACTAAGCCACAACCCCAGCCCCTAAATGAGAGTATCTTATTGGAAGATTATAAGAAAATAAACATTAGTATGTAAAATGGAGTACACAATGCAAAAATAAACAGGAAAATAAAATTTAAGATTCATACCTATATAAGAGTCTATTAAATATAATGGAATCTGAAAATAATTATGTAAGCCCCAAGTATTTCTGTTCCCAAACTTATAACTTGAAGCCATGCATAAATGACCAATATATGTTTTCTTAGTAATGAACCTTAAAAAACAACTTATCTTAAAAAGACTTGAGGCTTGCTTTTCTGATTAGTTTTACAATGCACCATGATGTCTGAATACTATACTTAGGAGGTAGACCTACCAATTCAATTCAAAACATTTCTGCCCATTAATTCAAATGGTTACAAGAGCACTCTTGCTGTTTGTTTCAAAAAATAAAGGCTATGGCCGAGCGTGATGGCACACACCTGTAATCACAGCAGCAAGGGGGGCTGAGGCAGAATTCAAAGCCAGCCTCAACAAGTGAAGTGCTAAGCAACTCAGTGAGACCCTGTCTCTAAATAAAATACAAGAGGACTGGGGATGTGGCTCCGTGATTGAATACCCTTAAGTTCAACCCCCAATACTCCCACCCCCCCCCAACCCCTGGCAAAAAAATTGAGACTGTGGACGTGTCCAAACACAGCTACCATGACATCAAAGGGTAGCTATGGGGCAAAAACACTGGTTCATTTAAAAACAATTTAGTGATCTTTAAATTTTTGTTTTGGTACCGGGGATTGAACCTAGGGGTGGCTTAATCATTGAGTCACATCCCCAGCCCTCTTTTAATATTTTATTTAGAGACACAGCCTCACTAAGTTGCTTAGGGACTGACTTTGAACTTAAAATCCTCCTGCCTCAGCCTCACAAGCTGCCAGTTTGACCTTTAAATTTAGCTCATCTATTAATTGCTTATGGCTTGTACAGCATTAAACAGATGATTACCAGAATGTTTTTTCTTTTTTCTTTCTTTTTTTTATGGTACTGGGGATTGAACCCAGGGGTACTTTACCACTGAAATACATCCCCACTTTTTTATTTTGAGACAGGGTCTCACTAAATTGTGAAGGATGGCTTCAGACTTGCAATCCTCCTGCCTCAGCCTACCCAGTCACTGGGATTACAGGTGTATGCCACTCAGCCCAGTTGCCTATTCTTCTATGGTAAAATTATTTTAAAGACATCCTAAGGAATAAAATTTGCAAAAGTTCAGACCCATAGAATTTGCACTAGTTGTGTTTACCATAAGGAAGCAAGGATCTTTAAGATTCCATAGAAATGGAATAATAAGACCATAAGCAAGCATTAAGAGCAACCTGCTTTCAACAGCAGAGGAACACAGTAAGGCACTAACAGATGGGGGACTCACTGGAGTCACATCAAGAATGATTAGTACAAGTAGCAAATATTTTATAAAATACTCCAAATCTAAGGCACAGATTAATAAAAGTCCTTAACTAATAACATTAAATGTTAGAGTTATAACAGTGACTAGATCTCAACTACCTCTTGTATTTGAATAAGTTTTAATTACTTACATTTACTTTTAGTAACTTGCTGTTTAGAGATGAGTTTTCCAAAAGTTTTCTTTTCCTATGCCGGTCAGCTGTGAAAGCTGAGCTATTAAAACACAAACAAACAGTCAAAAAGACATTAATATATACATGCTACACAACAGGCTAAAGAATAAACTCAAGATGCCCTCTGCATCTAGGGCATGAAGCCCTGCCTGACTGCTTAGTCATGCCATCAAGTGACCAGTCAGGCCCACGAGTATTTGAAATTAACTGAAGCGTTCAACTTCCCTGGAAATTCCCACTGCTCCTCCAAAGCTGAGAAAGGGCTGGATGCTGATCCCAGCAAAGCCAGACAGCTAAATGTAGTTTTTGAGACATGCCATCCCAATTTCCACTCTGTCTACCTAATCATTTGTGAAGCTTCAAAAACGAGAAGACCCATTCCTTACAATAAAAGGAAAAACCTGACTGACATCAGTATTCTGAATTTAACAGTGAGTCTAAAATAATAGCTATTTCTTTCTTAATTTGGATAAAAGTATGTTTCACTCATATGCCTTGATAGATTATGATATGAGTGTGAGGAATGATAATTATGGGATTATAGGCATATATAAATTAATTTGATTCACCTATCCTGTAAAAAAATTCTAATTAGATTAGAAATTCTTAAAATTATTTCTCATCAAAATTTTTCTGCTTAAATTTTATCAGAAAGTTGTTCTTCAAAATGTCACTTTAAAGTTATTGGCTATCAGGAGAACTAATCTGAAGGAAGTAAAAATTATAGTTAAACACAGACTTTTAAGTCTGCCAATTCTCTTCTACCTTCTAAAAGTACCCAGCTAATCCAAAGTAAATATATAATTATTTTTCTTTCCAGAATTAAAGTTAACCTAAGTTTAAAATTCAGTTTCAAGGTGGCTTTTCAAATGCTCCATAGCCACATGTGGCAAGTGGCTACCATATTAGAAAGGGAAGATCACAGAATGCTTACATAATTGCAGAAAGTTCCACGGGACAGCGAGGCCCCAGAAGATGTACAGGATAAACACAAATGTAATCACAGTTTTTAGATTCCACTATAAATTAAAGCCTATGTTTGTAAAACATAAAAATAAATTTAGGTGATGTTTCTCAACATAGGAAAAGAATTGCAAAGTAGATTTCTCAGTGGGGCCAAGTAGAAGTATGCACAAGATGGCTGAGACACCTTTTACTTGATGAAGTAATAAATAAAACAAAGTATTTTCTAATTGTATGAACACACATACAGTTATGGAAGGCCCTACTTTCCCTCTGACTTAATTCTGACTTACTTTGGACTGAGGTGGCAGTCTTGTCTTAGAGAAAACTAAGTAGCAGAGAAAATATTCTGGTAGCTACCCACTTTAACACCAAGCATGTAAGATCTTTACAATGACATTATCATCCCAAGAGTGACTAATTACTTCAGTAATCTCCTACTTCATAATTTATTGTGAGCAACTTTAGACAAAATTAAATATTTGGATTAGTGATCTGTACCTGTGTTTCTAATCCTACATAGGCTCATGATGCTTAGTTTAGATTAAAGGGGTAAAAAAGAATCAATTTGAGAAAGAATGGAGCAAAAGATGACAAACTAAAAGTATTTAAACCCAAAGTGATTGAATTATTTTAGAATCTTCCTTATAAGCTTTATGTTCTATTTAAGGCAATAAGACATGATTAAAGACTTTGGTCAACAAATACTATATAGTGTTGCACTGAAAGAAGTTAGGTTATTTCCCTTTCAGTATATATTCTGAAATATTCTACTGGATCTACATTTAAGTTTGTCAAGGGATCCCTGCTTTGGCATATTTTCACAATGTCTTCTATACACCAACTGCCAAAATAAATCAGATGGCACCTGATGATTTGGGTGATTTATACAGATTTCACTTGAGTCAGCAGTCATTCCAGGCCATGCTTCTATCCACTGTAGCTTCAAAGGCATTGCTATTTGGGCTTTTATTTATCACTTCAATTTCGGGTCCAGCAAGCTTTATCTGAATAAGCATTCAGCTATAGTAAGAAAAGTCTATTCACATAAATCTTCAATTTCTTTATGATCACAAAGCATGTACAGTTCTTTGTAATTTCAAATATGCATTACCCCTAACAAAAAAAGTATAAGATGAAACTAGAATCCTGTGCTATTGTACAGATGCAATGATACTTAAATCTAATTTCTCTTAATGCATAAATCTTAGTCTAAGATCTCATAATACATTTGACAGATTTTCTAATACTAAAGGTAACTCTATAATGATCTTATATTGTTTTCTGTCCTCTCCCCCAAACTCTCTTTGCAAATAAATTGAGTAGCTTACAAATTGGTGGGCAATAACAACAACAACAACAACAAAATAGGTTCCTGGGCCCTTAGACATGGCTTATCTAAACAGTAAATGAAATGTGGGCAAAGTTTCAGATATCCAAACCCAAAGCATAGTTTACCAATATTTTATTTACAATGAAAAACATGATGAAGTTATAGAACTCACAAAAATTCCACTCAAAGTGCTAAAGGACCCCTTTAACACCCTTCTGTTTTCCAAGACCTAATACTTACTTTTCCAAGTTCTGTAAGTGTTCTCTGACTTTCTGTACCAGTCCCAGCTTGGTGTCATTAACCACAAAATCATCACAGCGATAACTGTAAGGAAAATATTAATCAATGTGTATATAAAGAGCTTGAGGAAACCACAGTAATGAAATCACTAAAAGGTCTGGCTGTTGCCAAGATGATCACATGGCTCTGTAGACAGTTACTGTTGGTGGTAAGTTTAAAGAGGATCTGGAATACACAATGGAATGTTTTTAAGAGTCTTTTTAAAAAGCCACGTAGGCAATGAACACTAGCTTCTTTTCACATTTTTATTTAAAAGCTCTTCAATTCCTCCTTTGGAAATGAAATGAGCTGTGGACGAGTGTTACATTCTTTTTAGTGGTACATAATACATGGAAAAGGAAATAAAAGCACCCATTCATGTAGCCTTAAGCCTAAAGCTTTAAGGTAACACTTTCCAACACAAATTAATGGGAAATTTGGGGGAGGAGAGATACAAGTGAAAAGCAGGAAAAAGATAATTTAACTTGTAGGGTTATATAGAAAAAGTAAAAGCTGGATATCTTAAACATAATTAAAATCAATAGAATTCAGATGAGTTAGGAAGAAAGAATCTTTCATTCTGAGGCATTAGAAAACAAAAATATGAAACAAGCTACATCTTTCAGGAAATTGCTAAGTGCTCTGTAAAAAAATGTTTGGGGTGTTTTTAAAAATCGACACAGTATTTTAGCAAGTCAATAAGCAAATAATATAAGGACTCACATACAATTAACTGAATTATCATTTTATTTTTTTGCTGGAATAGGCCAATTTTAACAAAAACAATTTATAGGCTGGCAGTAAGATATTCTTTTAAATGTGCAGTTTTGTACAAAGGCACTTTTTTAACTACTAAAGAATAATGAAAATAACACTGCTATTCTGAGCAAACAAAACCTTGAAAGCATAGCACTTTGTAAAAATAATGTTATCTCTAACCAAATCCAAGAAAACATTTCAAATATCTGAAACCAATCTATAAAAAATTTTAAAAATAAAAAAGAATAGGTGGGAAGTAATGATTCTAAAAATTTAGATACAAAACCATGGCTTGTGACTTTCAATCAGAGAAGTGAAATTTTTAAGTGAATGCTTTTGAAAACTTAAACTGTTACCTTTGTCATTATTTAACATGCACCCTCATTAACTGACCACGCATGCTGTCAATCAGGATTTCTCTAACACATTCTCAAGTTCCCAGGGTCAATTTCCAACATTTCCACATATAGCAAAAGCAACCTTTTATATCCTGGACCATCTTTCTTTGATCAAAGTACCTCTGGAAGGGGAACAAATTTTTCACTGATTTTATGACAAATACATAAAGGTATCAAATTAATGAAAAGGTTTAATTCAAAAGGTATCACATTAATGATAAGGTTCAATTCTTTGCTCCTCTGAGCATAAATGAGGGTAAGGACTACTTTATGAATATGGGCTTAAGGTACTCCTTACTTCAATGAACCTTACGTATTCACTGCAGAATGAAACTGCATTGTTATTCTACTTTAATTCCTGTTTACATTTTCATTTTTTGTTTCCATAAATGTATGCATGTAGTTTAGATAAAACAATATTCAGTGTTCAAAACAAATCCACTCCAAATGCTAGTGTTCATCTGGGAAATGAAGTCTAAGTACAAAATCAGATAACTTTTCTGTATTAACAGGGTGCTATTATACATAAATGAAAAACAAACCCCTACCTAACTCCTACAAAATAGTGGTTGCTTAGTTTAAAGAAACAAATTGTTTAAAATTATTTCATAAAAAAGTATTTTGGTGGGATGATAGGAATTCAGCCTAGAATATAAAATTACATTTGTTGAAGCAGCATTTTCACATACTAAAATATTAGAGCTATTTATGACCTGGCTCTGTTCTTAACTAATGAGACTCAAATGGGTCAAGCTACTTCATCTCTCTAGATGAACTGGTCATTTTTCATCACTTAAGTGAGTAGGCTGCTCTGGACTATAGAGTTGCCCTAATGCAGCTAGTGCCAACTGAGTAAAATAAATTGATTTTTAAAGATTTTAAAATTTTTACTTAATAACTGAAACAGCATTAACCTTCATGAAACATAACTGTATTTTATGACAGAACTATATTTTGCTTTCATTATTACTTTGTGCAAAATGTATGGCAGTGTACATCATGTGCATGAGACATTTCCAGCACTACACAAGAGCACAGCATGAATCTAGTTGTGTCAACAAAATGATTCCGTTCATATGGTTTTTCTATGTAACAATGTAGCATTATAATGTTATTTCAATATTTTATGCAGACTACATGAGTGTATAGTAACACCTATAAATCATAATTGATAATTAAATTGAAATACTTGATTTTTTTTCTAGCTCAAAAATTAAGAATGGAAGCTGGGCACCGTGGCATCCACCTGTAAGCCCAGATCTCAGGAGACTGAGGCATGAGGATCCAAGTTCAAGGCTATTCTGGGCAACTTAGTGAGACCCTGTCTCAAAACAAAAAACAGAAAAAACTAGGGACATAGCTAAGCAGTACAGCACTGCTGGATTTAATTCCCAGTACTGCAAAAAGGAAAAAAAAAATTTAATTTTCAAATGAAGGCATACCACTAGGACAAAATCAAGTGGAGATGAAGCGGGGGAGGGGGGAGGCATGTTGCAGATTTAACTAAAATGGCAGTTGCAATTTGCACTAAAAAAAAAAAAAATTAAAAAACTTTATTGGAAAAGTTTTAAGATAATAAAATAAGACATTATTAAGAGGAAATTGCAAATGCATTTTAATGTAATATAAAATTGCCTCTCAAAAAGTAATTGAGGAAATTAGTCACAATTAAATGAGAAATTAGATGTGTAACAAAAACATATATTAATGATTTCTAAAGGATTTGAACTTGTAACTTTGGTCAACTATAAAAAGGCTTGGAATCTTGCTAAAGAAAGATACCATTTGTGGATAGATAAACCACTATTTCCATTTAAAAATTATGAGTAAAGATTACAAGCAATATTTCACAAGAAAATATTTTCAATTGAACCATCAAGCAACTGTCAGTGAATAAAAGACCTTTCTAGCGATATTAAAAATCAATCAAGTCAACATCTGAAAAATTGCAGGTACTTTTTAAAATTTTTTAACTTTTAAATGACTTTTTTACAAGACAAGACACACTGCCAAATTAATACTTCAGATATGTTTTGTCAAAAATGACTTGAAAATTTACAAAGGAATGTCTTTGTCTATTTGCAATCTTAAAAAACAATTTGTCTCATCTGTATTTTTTAACATTTTACATTTGTCACTTTCAGCTAAATATGAAAAGGTTTCTATCAAGATACTGTTCAATGAAAAATCTGGACTTATGGGAATTATTTATTTTTCTTATTTTGTTCCACCATCTGACACGTATTACAAGTATCCGTGCTCTGAGGCAGACAACATCACAGAGGCAGTGATTAAAATTGTTTAGCATATATGGTCGAATGCTACAACTCATCACGTTTATGGAACTGTTAAGATGAACAGAAAAAAATGAATTTAATGCTAAAAGGCATGTTGCAGATTTAACTAAAATGCTTGTGTTAAGGAAGAATTGTACAAAGACTTAACTACACTTTTTTTTTTTTGGTAGTGGGGATTGAACCCAGGGGCACCTAACCATTGAGTCACATCCGTAGCCCTTTTTTATTTGTAGACAGGGTCTCACTAATTAGCTTGGGGCCTTGCTAAATTGCTGAGGCTGGCCTTGAACTTTCAATCTGCTTGTCTCAACCTTCTAAATCGCTGGGATTACAGGCATGTACCATGACACCTAGCAAGACTTACTATACTCAACTCTAATTCAAAATTTTCTTAAAACAAAAGAAATGCTTGCCAATAGTCAAGACTCAGAGTAAAACCAGGAAAAGATTTTTAGAAATCTGAGTGCAATTTACTTTTTTTTTTTTTTTTACTTATGTCACAATGCATATGAATGAGCTAAAGTTGAAGATCCAAGGAGAAAATAGCTTATTTGTGACCTAGCTTGTGACAGGTTTAAGAATTTGTGTTAAAACTGAAACTTTTCATAGTACAAACAATGATTTCACACATTTTTCAACATGAATAAATGTGCAGATTTTAATTATAATAGACTACATTACATAAACTGACTGCAAAACCTCTAAGAAAAATAATACCTTTTTGAATTTCATGTGATAATACATGGAGTTATCACAAAAGAAAAAGGATTTACTTGGGCAGATGTATTGTAACTAAAATGTTTTTGCTTCCAAATAAAACGAATTGTTGTTCTTATGAGTTCGTTTCGTCAACAAAGATGCAGGTATTAGAGAAAAAAATGTTTTGAGCTCCATTTATTATATTTATATTTTAATAATATTTGGAATACCATGAATCCACTTTTTAACTTCTTTTTTTACTTGTAGATGGACACAATACCTTTATTTATTTATTTGTGATGCTAAGGATTGAACCCAGTGCCTCACACATGCAAGACAAGTAAGTGCTCCACCACTGAGCCACAACCCCAGGCACACCATGAATCCACTTTTTAACTGCAATTTTTATGAATCTAAATACTGATGAAATATTTCTGACAAAATACGTAGCTTCTCAATTGAAATGTGCTATAAACCTAAAACAACTTTGGATTTTGAAGATTTCAAATGGAAGAATGAAAACTATTTCTAATAATTTTTATACTGATTACATGTTTACATGATAATATTTTTGATACAAAGTTAAATATAGTATATACTTAATTCTATGTTTTATTTTAACATGGCTACTAAAAAATTTAAACTGCAGATAAATTGCATTATTTCTGTTATATACACAAGTAAAATGAAAATCTAGGTTAAGACACTACCTACTTTAAGATTCTATACTACTACCCAATATCATAAAGGGACACCCTAATGTAATTTCATTGAACTATAAGAACTAAATTTTATTTTGTCTAGATTTGTTTTCACAGGCTTAAAACACTTTAAAGTTTTTACAACTATCTTTGTTTCTCAAGAATTTTAAGCAGTATTTTAGTTACTAAGAGGGATACTTATTATAGGATGCAACTTCTCTGTTGTCTGAATTCACTATGCTATTCAAGTGATTGATTATTTATTATTAAGAAAAACACCTCAAAACTTCTAAGAATGTCTTTTATGAGGTGGAAAATCCATAAATATTAGTTTCCTTCTTTTGTGTTACCAAAAACCTCACAGCACACTCCCCCTCTCTACTTGCCACATTCCTGTTTTGATTTCTTCTTCCTCCCAGGTCCAAAACAAAAAGAAAAAAGAAGTGGTAAAGGTGAGAAATAAGTGAAAATTTAAATGTTGCTTGGTTATTATTAAACTAAATTAATCTCATGTAAAATTAACCTATACATGAGATTTTTGCTTTCTAACTGGAAACTATCCCACTAATACTGGTGTTGAAAAGTCCCCAGGCAACACTAAGGCAGGAATAATGAAAATTCAAAGCCAGCCTCAACAACTTAGTAAGGCTCTATTAAAAAGATGCTGGGGATGTGGCTCAGTGGCCCTGGGTTCATCAATCCCTGATACCAAAAAAAAAAAAAAACCTGGCAAGCAAGCACTTGAGTACATAAGTTCTAAAAATCGCTTCCTGGTTTTACTACATTTGCATTAAAGCTGTTTGGTCAGAATTATGCTCACCTCTAATACCTGAAAAAAAAATTTACTCACTCTTAATTTTCTCTTCAAGTTATGTTCAAAAAAAGTACGTAACTTGGGCTGAGGTTGTGGCTTGCCTCACACATGTGTGGCACTGGGTTTGATCCTCAGCACCACATAAAAATAAATAAACAAAATAAAGATATTGTGTCCATGTATAACTAAAAAAATTTTTTTAAAAAGTACATAATTTACAGGCTGTGTTTCAAAAGTTTGTGCACTGGTCCTAACTTGGTATAAATTTCTCATTTTAAAATAAGTTATAAAATATGGTTAAATACCCTAGGTGAAAATACATGTTTCACAAACTACAGTTGAAATGGTGTTGTAAAAAGCTCTACTTTTTGTTTTTTTTTTAATACTAGGAATTGAACCCAAGAGTGCTCTACTACTGAGCTATATCACAGCTCTTTTATTTTTTGAGATAGGGTCTCATTAAGTTGCCAAGGCTGGCCTGGAACAGAATCTTCCTGCCTCAGCCTCCCAAGTAACCAGGATTACAGGTGATGCTCTGCTCTTCCTTGCTTCTTAATAACTGGCACTAAGTTGTGACAGGAGAAAGCCAGGTAGGATTCAGGTAACTTGATTAGTCTTTGCCAGGAGAAGAAGCCTGAGGTTCAGCATCTCTTCATTTACATAGGACTTCACATGGGAAATAAGTCAGGGATTACCTATGTCATTCAACCAACTTTTTTTTTTTTTTTGATGATTTACCGTTATTTATTTATTTATTTAATTTTTTATTGTTGGTTGTTCAAAACATTACATGGTTCTTGACATATCATATTTCACACTTTGATTCAAGTGGGTTATGAACTCCCATTTTTACCCCGTTCATTCAACCAACTTTTAGGCTATTAAATTTGTACTTTGTATCTAGTGACTTTAGGTTACTCTCTAAGTAAAGATGAGCTCTACTACTAATAGACTACTTGTCAGAAAAGGGGAAAGGTTCATTTCTACATTTAATTAAAAAAATTAAGAAAAATCAAGTAAATTGAACACTAAAAGGAAAAAATAAGCACGTGCCCTCTCCCTTGTCCACTGCTGCTGCCTCCTTCTGCCGCTCCAGGAGTTGCTTGGGTGCTCATTAGGTGTGGACCTGGTACCTCTTTCTTGAAGCAGCAGCTGAGGAGACTCCAGCACTTGCCATGGCCAAAAAAAAAAAAAAAAAAAAAAAAAAAAACTCAAGGAAGGAGTCAAGACTAAGAACAAGGATCAGATTAACTTGAAGGTGGCGGGCAGAATGGTTTCATGGTGCAGTTTAACATTAAGAGGCATACACTTAGTAAACTTATGAAAACCTATTGTGAATGACAGGGATGAGACAGATCAGATTTAATTTTCCAGGCAGCCAATTAATGAAACAGACACACCTGCACAGCTGAAAATGGATGATAAAGATACAATTGATGTGTTCCAGCAGCAGACAGGAAGTGTCAACTAAAAATGGAACCTGCTACTTTACTCCAGAACTCTGTTAACAGACCAAGACTACCTCAATTAGAAAACTGCAATTTGTTTTCACTACATCCTGAATAGTACTGTACAATTTTCTCTTTCCCCTTCCCCATTCCTTTATTGTACATAAAGTACCTGGTATTATGTGCACAAGCATACCGCATTTTTTTAAAACTAAATGGCCCAATGATATGTTTTGATTGACATCAAATGGAGATGGGATGGGGAAAAATACTGGTTCTGTGAAAATATCCCCTTTCTCCATTAGTGGCATGTTCATTCAGCTCTTATCTTTATATTCCAGTAAGTTATTTTGCTCTGTTTTAACAAAAAACAAAACAAAACTAACCTGAATGACATAAAAATCCTTGCATACCTTGTTCAACTGGAAAATTTTAATATTTTTTATTTATCATTGTAAAACAAAGGACAATTTTATAACTTTTGTATATAGTTGTTACATGTAGGGCAACCTGTCCTTAAGTAGAGGTAAATTACTCTTAAAAAAAAAAAAAGATTCCCAGATAGTTTTCTCTTCAAATCAAGCATCTTGTTGTTTAAATAAACTTCTTATTTAAAAAAAAACAGCAAAAGATTTATCCAATCTGAAGAGGGGGGAAAAAAAGAAAAAAAAAAAAAGGCCGGCCCAGTGGTGCATACCTGTAATCCTAGCGGCTTAGGATGCTGTGGCAGAAGGATTGCCAAGTTCAAAGCCAGCCTCAGCAAAAGCAAGGTGCTAAGCAACTCAGCAAGACCCTGTCTCTAAATAAAATATAAAATAGGGCTGGGGATGTGGCTCAGTGGTCAAGTGCCCCTGAGTTCATTCCCCAGTACCCCCACTCCCCAAAAAAAGAAAAATTAATATTTAGAAATAATAAACAACATATTAGAGATTGCAGATTAGGTAATAAAGTATAAAAAGGGAAAAGTAAAGAGAGAATTTAGTATGGTTCTTTGCTTCCAACACCTGTGAAAGCAACACTATCATCTATGGCTAAGTAAAGATTAGTCTCAAATCCAAATTCCTTGAGCCAAATATTATCTTAAAATAGTTTTACATTTCTTTCAGTCAATAGTTAATAAATGTATAATGTATAATATGATATTACATGCATGCTGCTGTTAAGAACAGAATGAATACAAATGATTTTACTATCATGTAGTCAACATATAACAAATGGCAGGTAAATTTTCATGTCAAATACAAGTTGTAATTATAATTAGGGAGGTAGAAAATGGATAAAATCACATCTTATTTCAAATACTGTTTGCTCTGATAAACAGCAAAAATGAAAGTTAATTTTTTCATTTTGTTTCTTTATGCTTTGATTTGTTTTAATGTTATTAGTGAGTTCAGAGTAGGAAAGTGTTTTAATATGCCCTTGTTCACAGTGTTTACATTACTAGTATCTTGAAGATTTTATTTTACAAAAATCTTTAAAATATCTATTTGGCCAATCTAAGTAAATTCATTTAATTAAGCATATACAAACTGCTAAATGCTTAAAATGAACACAGAATGAGGATACCACATGAAAAACTAGTTCAGGAAACTGTGTAGTTCATTGCAAATAATCAAATTTATAGAACACTGGCAGCAAGTATATTAAATATTTGCCAAAGTTTTTATTCCCTCAAATAAAGGCCTTTAATAAAATGTGTTTTCTTCCCATACTGTCAGTGCAGTATTTTGGAGATCCATGCACGAAACATTTTTGGTCTCTGGCACATGGCAGGTTCTCAATGAATATTCGAATGTATGTATGCCCGTGCATGCATGTGCGTGAATATATTTGCTTCATACTTTTAATACATTTATTTCTATATATAGTTGATATTTTTGTCATTCTGTTTAATATTTCTTTTTGTTTGGTCTTTTAGCTTTTGAACTGATGACTGCTTAAAAAAATGAAGCTACTAGTTTTTGTATATTTATCACCAATCAACTTTCCAGAATTTTTTTCTTTTAATATTTTTTCTTAATTGTAGGTGGACACAATAACCTTTATTTTTATGTGGTGCTGAGGATCGATCGCAGTGCCTCACACTTGCTAGGTGAGCACTTTACCACTGAGCCACAACCCCAGCCCTCCAGAATTTCTTAATATATTAATTCTAGTTGCTGTTTTCTACTAGAGTCCCAAGAGGGTTTCTGGGAATTCAAGCATATAATTTGAAAACAGACATATTTTGTTTCCAATATTTATATGAGTTACTTCAATTACTATCTTATTATAATGGCTAGAACTGTCAAAACATTGTTTAATAAGTGACAATCATGTCTCTCATGATAGGAAGTATTTCTGTCTTATTTCTGATAAAACGGAAATGGCTTTAGCATTTCACAATTTAGTATATGATGTTTGCTTTCTTTTTTGGGGGGAAGCAGATGATAAAAGATAAATTTAATAGTTTCCTTTTATTTCAATGTTACTGGGTTGGTTTTTTTTTTTTTAATGAGAACTGGCTCTTTTATATAAATGTATTTTTTGCTTCTAATGATGCAATAATCTAAGGTTTTCTTTGCTGTGTGGAGAGAGTACTGGGGATTGCATCCAAGGGCACTTTACCACTGAGTTACATCCCCAGTTAATTTTTTGAGACAAATTCTCACTTAGTTGCTTAGGAACACTCTATCACCGAGCTACACCCCCAGCTCTTTTTTGTTGTTGTTGTACAGGGGACCGAAATCAGGTGTACTAATAACCACTGATACTTATCTCCAGGCCTTTCTATTTTTTCTTTTGAGACAGGGTCTTGCTAAATTGCTTGGGGCTTTATTACATTTCTAAGGCTAGCCTCAAACTTGGAATCCTTCTGCCTCAGTCTCGAGTCACTGGGTTTACACTCAGATGCTACCGCGCCCAGATTAGGGTTTCCTTTAATAATGAATATTGGTAGTCTTTAGGTGAAATTAACTCTACTTGGTAAGGATTTAGCTTCTTTTTGATATTGCTATACCTTACTAGGTTAGATTTATATGTATGTCTGTATGTATGTATGTATGTATTATGGCAGTACTGGGAATTGAACCCCAGCAGCAATCTATCTCTGAGTTAAATCCTCATCACTTTATTTTGAGACAGTGGCTCAGTAAGTTGCCAAAGCTGGCCTTGAACTTGCCATCCTTCTGCCTAGCCTCCTGACTCACTGGTATTGTAAACATGTACCACCACATCCAGTTAGATTTGCTTTTAAGTTATAGTTATTTACAATTATTTTAAATAGTGAAATTGGCATATTTCCTTGTTTTTGAGTTTCTATCATATTTCTGGCTTAAGGTTTTCAGAGTTTCATAATAATGTACTCAACCTTAAATTTTAAAATATTGAGCTAAACTATCCAATATTACCAACTAGTCACATATGACTATTTATATTAAGTAAAATGAAACAAAATATTCAGTTCTTCAGTCACATTTGACTGCTCAGACAAAAAAAAAAAAAAGACAGACAAAGACAGAGAAAAGTTACTTTTTCTTTTGAGACAGGGTCTTGCTAAATTGCTTCAAAACTGTAAAAAGAGTTTTTCCATTTCTATTGTTAATGCTATTGAAGTTACCCAGGTCATAAGATTCCACATCATAGTCTTCATTAACTAAGAAAATATACCAAATCCAACCATTCTTTATTCATCTGAAACAAGAAGGCATTATCATACAAATAACCTGATTTTTTAAGCAACAGCAAAGAAACAGGTACATTAATCTCCTGCCCACAAAACTCTGTTTATATAGTAAGTCATGTGTAACATTAATACTAAAAATAAAAATTTTTATGCAAAAAAGTACCCATAAAAAGGAATATTTTCCATTAAAGCAGCAGCTCTTACATTAAATTTAATTTTTTTTTTAAATTTTGATGTTTAGGGGCAAATTTGACCTACATCTTTATTATAAAAGATACTAGAGGGGGAACAAAAAGCAAGCTGACATTCTAATGACTTCATATATTTCGAACTTTTAAATTTTTAAATCTAAAAGAATTCCTTTAAAAAGAAAGTACATGTTTACATTTTCTTCTATTGAATTCTGATGTCTTGCCATCAAATAAGTCAATTATAGAAAATTAAAAGAACTCCTGCAGAGAAAAAATTATGTCTTTTGTCATAAATAGATAAATTTTTTCTATCCAACTTATTAATGAAGCCTTTTAAATTTAGACCACCTCTGCTAGAAAGTTTGTTTTTAAACTATATTTTTAAATAAACAAAACTCTCCCTGTTTCCTAACTGTTTACAACAGGTGTATCCAGCACCTGTGGTCCCAGTTGCCTAGGAGGCTTATGCATGAGCAGCTCTGGAGCCCAGAAGTTCCAGGCCAGCCTGGGCAACATAGCAAGACTCAGTATCCAAAGAAAAGAAGGGAGGGAAGGGGGAGAAGGAAGAAAGGAAGAAAAGAATGGAGGGAGGGAAGCAAGGAAATTTGTTTCTAAACAGTTTACATGGAGTTAATAAAAGATATTTCTTTTTTAAATCACAACTGCCTTAGAAAAAATGCAGTAATCAATTTAAACCTATAATAGCTTTATTTCTGTTAATATAAATTAAAATTGCTACTATAAGTGTTCAAATTCTGAAAATACAAGCCTGTTTTCAGACATTCACATTTCATAATATTTCTGTTTGAAAGGATGCTTTAAAACATTATCTTCTAGGAAGCAGAATTCTAGTTATTTATTTAGGTACTAGAAATTGAACCTATGGGTGCTTTATAACTGAGCTGTATCTATAGTCCCTTTTATTTTTTCTTTTGAGACAGGGTCTTAGTAAGTTGCTTGGGGCCTCACTAAATTGCTGAGGCTGTCTTTGAATTTGTGATCCTCTTGCCTCAGTCTCTGAGCCACTGGGATTACAGTAGTGGTCCCAGTTACCTAAGAGTAACCACATCCAGCCAGTAATTTACTTTTAATATTCCTTCCATAATTCTTCATTATTAGAAATTTAACTATTGTTGATAAGGGTTCAAAGTTGACAAGACTATGTCAGATGTCAAGAAATTATTTACTATTTTAAACCCATTAACTCCAAATTTCTACATATTTAAATCAAAACTTCTTATTTTAATCTTTGCTTCTTTTCAATCACAATAGTGTACATCATATGCAATTCTATTTGTATTGGTTAGGGAAGAAAGTGGGTGGAAGGGGAGGAAATATTACTTATTACACAATAATCTAAACACTAGCCCTTGTGTAAAACTCTTAGGAAGGTTTTCATTTTTACTTAAACCTTCATTTTCCTCTCAGTTTCATATTAATCTGGTTATCTCCTCAAGGAGTAGCGCCTTGGTTCAGACCAGAATTACTCCTTTTGGTACTGCTTTCTCTCTTTTGAAGTCATGACTTATTTTATGTTGTCTGCTTGGTTAATTAATACAGTATGTGCTTCCTCTCTGGATGGCCCGCTTAATCAGAACTGAGGTGAGGTGTTCTGGAAGGGTGTCCATCTTGGAAAGGAAATAAAGTAGCTCATCTAGGCCATGATTTAAGTCTTCTTCAAGAAAAATGTCCTGTGACTCTTCAGTTCTCCAAGATGATCAGAGGACACAATACTATAGATTTGGTATAAACTTCCCCATTTTGGGAAGATAATAAAACTCAATCTTTCAAACACATCAGACACTGAGTACTGGGGAAAATACAAAGATCCGAGATATGTTTTCTTCAGTCCCCAAAGACATTTACAAATAACTAACATGCAACAGAAATTACAAATATCCCAAGAGATATAAGTTCAGGAGAGATTATATACAGCTACAATTGAAGCTAGCAGGAGAGGGAAGAGTTCAATAGTAATTTCATTAAGATTGTGCAAAGAAAAGGCAGGGCAGGGACTCTTGGTAAAAGAAAATAAAGACAGAAAAACTAATAAACCTCAGAGTATCTTACTTTTCTAAAGCACAGAGCATGATGCTTTTTAAAAATGAGTTTCAACATTAGCTAAAGTCAAAATACTTAATAATCAAATACATTAAACTTAATACATTAATATTTTTACTACTGAACTAATCACTCAGATGAGCCACAAAAAATATACAAGGAGAATTCATAATCTGAAGTAAAATTATCTAAAATGTATTAGGAAATAACACATATACACTCCATACACACAGAAAGAGGAATTTTCTTTTTGTTGCTTCTTAATAACAGTTGAGGTATGAGGAACCTAAACTATAATTTCATCAGTTTACAACAATCTTTTCAGGCTGACAGTTAAATGATACAGGGTGGTTCCCTGGCATTTTGTTCTAATCCACAAATGAGGCGATAATGTGACCAACCAGCTGCAGCTCCCTTCCTGCAATTCAGAAGCTCTGGGTATCCACACACTTGCAGCTCTGTATAAGTTCACACAAAAGACTGGCAATTGGCCAAAAAGCCTCCACCATGGTGTACACTCCCCAAGGTTCAAGATTTTCCATTTAATTCCAATTCATCCATGAAACGACATATACTTTAGCAGACTGTATCAATGTAAAACAAATTAAATTCAATTTCAAAGTAAAAAAAAGTATTCCCCTAAAATATAAAAAGTAAATCCATTAAAACATATGATCTATATTTTAAAGAGCCCTATGAATATTTAATTCCACTCCATTCAGATAATCACTATTTCCTCAGAATCTTTCCAAAAGAAAGAACACCCAATTGCAAACTTGATATATCAGAGATTTTTAATAGAGGTTTCCAAAGTTGCCCATTAAGCATTTCATGCATATTGCTAAATAAAGATCAAAATGAATGTTTTCAACATCTGGTACACACACAGGTTGATATGACTTTAGACAATAATTGTGTGACAGATACTTCAACAATGATCCTAATTTCTGTTTTTTTGTTTTGTTTTGTTTTGTTTTTTTGTTTTTTGGTACCAGGGATTGAACCCAGGGATGCTTAACCCTGAGCCACATCCCCAGCCCTTTTTAATTATTTTATTTAAAGATAGGGTCTTGCTAAGTTGCTTTAGGACCTTGCTAAGTTTCTGCGGCTGGCTTTAAACTCTGGATCCTCCTGCCTCAGCTTCCCAAGCTGCTGAGATTTCAGGCATATACCACCATGCCTGGCTAATGACTGCTATTTTTAAAGCAGAAATACTTGCAAATATACAGAAACACATGGTTATATAAATCAAGTAGCTCTGTAATTCTAGTTTTCCAAGGGATTGGGGAACTACCAGAAATACTTCAACAGCCTGACTAATATGCTTAAATTTAGTAGAAAAGAGTATGCTGCAGCAGCCAATAACAATAAACTGAGCATTAGTTGTATAAAGATCTGAGGAAGACTTTGATTTTAATTGAAATCTTTGTGTACCTTTAGATGCTCTCTCTTCTAGGTCTAGACACCTACATGAAGGATCACTGAACGAGAAGGTGTCTGAAAGGCTAAACCCTAAGAGATTTATTCAATAGCAAAAAATTAGTAAGATTAAACCTTTTAAAGTTGAAAAGATCTGAAAACCACTGACTGTTTTCTTCCCTTTAACGGGCATTTTTCTCTAATGATAATCTACAGAAAATGCAGAAAAGGATTGGCACAAAACTTCAGTAGAAAATGTGAATTAAAAAGGTATCTGGATATAATGCTAAGTGAAGTAAGCCAATCCCAAAAACCCAAATGCTGAATGTTTTCTCTGATATAAGGATACTGATTCATATTGGGGTTGGGTGGGGGAGCATGGAAGGAATAGACGAACTCTAGATAGGGCAAAGTGGAGGCGGGGGGAAGGAAGGAGGTATGGGGGTAGGAAAGATGGTGGAATGAGATGGACATCATTATCCTAAGTACATGTATGAAGACACAAATGGTGCGATGCTACTTTGTGTACAATCATCAATATGAAAAATTGTGCACTATATATGTAACATGAATTGTAATGCATTCTGCTGTCATATATAACAAATTATAATTTTTAAAATGGTATCTGGACTTTATCCCTTTCTGTCCATTATTACCTTCATATAACATTCAAGAAGTATACGGCAAGAAAATCTCTTTCTGAAGGCATCCTTTAACATCTTCATTGTTTTCCCCTCAAAATCAACAACTGTTAGAACTAAAGCTAAAATGATTAAAACAAGAAGTATTCATCATATTTTGCTAGTCAAGGAAGGAAGGAAGTATTTCACACCAAAATCAAAACTTCAAAAAATTATGTTTTCTGTGCATACCAAATGGATATGAATTGTTAAACCTCATTTGTAACCCAAACAACATGTTCTAAGTCACAAAAATAGACACTACTTTAATATCATTTAAATGAAATAAAGATGTATGTTATATTACAAAAGACACTGGGCCTCTAACCCCTATTTAAAAGTTGAAATACTTAAAAAAAAAAATAGCCTGAAAGGATACATACCAAATTCTTGACATTTACCTCTCATAGAAGAGAACCGCTCCAAGAGAAGGAAGATTGTCAAAACAATCTTTCAAACAATGAAAATAAAATTTTTTAGATTATATGACAAATTGTTAAGTGGACAGTAGAAATATGGGTTGTTATATTAGTCTTCGGTTTAAAACAACACAAAACAAATTATAATAACAATGAAATCCTTTTCTTTCTCTGAAGCTTAATGGGATGGGCAAAGAGCAGAGGGATGGGAAAAAAGAGGAGGCCTAGAAGTTGAAAGAAACAATGCAAAGTGAAATCTGAATGAATTAAAAAGGGTACTCCTGATGGCTCCCATCCCCATACAAGACTAAAAGGAGGTAATGGCAATAGCAACTGGCTTAGGGAGAGGGAAAGGTAAAGAAGATAAGAGCACACTTGCACAAAGATAATATGAAACATCACTTCCAGAAAATATTAACTTACCAATATGTACTGTAGCTACTGCAATCCATACACACTGTATGCTGAGCTTTATCTTGCTTTTCTGACTTCTTATGGTTGGTTAAGGGTATTTGTGCATCTTCATAATGTTTTTTTGCATGGCCATTCACATACCTTATAAAAACCAAATGAAAGTTTATTTTAATATAAATATTGTTCTGAAAATTAAAGTACTAAGAAATAATAAACCAGGCATGGTATCACACACCTATAATCCCAGTGACTCAGGAGGCTGAGGCAGTAGGATCACAAGTTGCCTTGGCAACTTAGCAAGACTCTGTACCAAAATAAAACATAAAAAGGGCTGGGGATGTAGATCATTGGTAGAGTATCCCTGGGTTCAATCCTTAGTACCACCCCCCGCCAAAAAAAAAACAAAAAAAAAACAGATAATAAAATTCAGGATTAATTAAATTGAAACAAGAAAGAACTATAAAAGCATTCATTCAATTACTCAGTCATAAAGAAGAATGAAATTATGGCATCTGCAGGTAAACGGATAGAACTGGAGACTATCATGAAATAAGCCAATCCAAAAAAACCAAAAGCCCAATATTCTCTCTGATAATGCAGATGCTAATACACAATGGGGTGGGAGGGATAAAAATTCATTGGATTAGACAAAGGAGAATAAAGGGAAGGAAGGAGGAACAGGAATATTAAAGACAATAAAATGAACTGGACATTACTTTCCTATGTTCCTATGAATATATGTTCCTACTTTTCTATGAATACATGACCAATATAACTACACATAGTGTACAACCACAATAACAGAAAGTTATACTCCATGAATGTATAATATGTCAAAATCAACCCAGGGCCTCACAAACTGTAGGCAAGAATACCCACAACCCCTAAGGTCAGCTTATTTTTTTTTTAAGAAGTTTATTTCGGCTCTTTAATTTTTTTTAACTTGTCTGCAGTCTACTTTTAATTGTTCACTAGACTAGGGCCAGGCAAGAAAAGGTATTACCCATGCAGATCAATGTCAGTATCACTGATATTATTATCACTTACAAATTTCTCTGCTGATGCTTTTGCTATAACTTTTTTCTTTTTCTAAATTTTTCAGATTGTTAGCTCCCAACTTGAGCAACTACCAAAGATAAGTTCTGTAAAGAAAGTAATCAACCATTTTCCACAGGGTCATAGCTTAAATATGTCAGTCAAACATGGAAAAAGGATAATCCTCTTTCTCATCGACATGGCTTCAGATCTTTTGTTTGAATGCCTGAATAATCACCTATTCTTAGACAGAAACACATTTATTTGGAAACAATCCAAATAAAACACAAAGCATCTTAAGTTTATGAAACTTATTTTTCTACATGGACAAAGATTATCAAAGGGTGATTATATTCATACAAATTTTATAACATTTTTCAATACAGATAAATAAATCATTTTATTAAAGCACGCAAAATGAAATCAAGTATGGATTCATATGCACATGTATTCATGTAAATTCATCCACACCTTTACCTGAATACCACACAATACTACACTGCCACTACGAAGACCTTATAACACAAAACTCGCCAGGTCCTAGAAAGCAGCCAATTTGTAGAAGGCAAAGTCTACTTAAACAGTTAAAACAAATCTGGGTTAAATGGCACCAAAATAAACAAGCTTAGAGAGTTCAGACAACATTTTCACCATGAAGCACATTAATTGTACCCAAAGCAACACTTACCTTAGGGAAAGTAGGACAGTTATGGTAACTTCAAACCTACCTTCTATATCCCAGGAAAACGGAACACATTCAAGGCAATATTATTCTCAACTCAAAATTTAATTTTACTCTTCCCCCCCCCTTTGTTTTTTGAAAGTGGGGGTGGGGTACTGGGGATTGAAGTCAGGGACACTTGGCCACTGAGCCACATCTCCAGCCCTATTTTGTATTTTATTTAGAGAGACTCACTGAGTTGCTTAGCACATCCCTTTGGCTGAGGCTGGCTTGGAATTCAAGATCCTCTTGCCTCAGCCTCCAGATCTGCTGGGATTATAGGTGTGTGCCACAACACCCGGCTCTTTTTCCATTTTTTTGATACAACTTTAAATGTTTTAAATACAACTAACTCTTGGGTATATACATGGGTCCCCACAAGTGAAGTATAATGAATTTTAAAGTAAAATAACTGTTAAAAGTATAAGCCCCAAAACTACATTTACTGGGTTCAAAAGAAACCTTTATCACATTCTGGAATATGAGCTTAGGTGAGTTATTAATCTTTCTGTGCTTGTTTTCTTATTCATAAATAGAGGTAACAGTATAGTACTTGTGTTTAACAGGCTATCAGGTGATTATATTAGTCCATGGCTCAAAATGAATGAATGTATTTTATTAGCATTTTCCTTTCTATGCTTAACTACTATTTCTTGAGAATTCAAACAACAGAATTGCTTAGAAAAGAGACACATTAAGCAAATATTTTGAGATAATACATCACTGCATAGGTCAAGAAACACTAATTAAAAAGGCAAACTATGCTATTAGGTTCAACATCTAATCATGTTAATTTCTATTCTTATATTTGTACTCCATATTATGAAAAATAATGGTACTATTTATGATGGGGAATGCCTTTAGAATAAAAAATTTAATACTGAACAATAATAATAAATGACATTACCACTTTCAAGTCTTTGAAAACTCGTCATCTTTACATAGTGCACATACAATCATTTGTTTAATTACAATACAATTTAATTACAATACAATTTAATTACAATCTTAACTGGTAACTGGATAATACACAAATGCGTTAGTCAAAAGTTAACAGTTTTGAATTAGATGCAGTGGCATGTCTGTAATCCCAACAACTTGAGAGGCTGAGGAAGGATAGAAAATTTGAAGCCAACCTTGACAACTTAGTAAATTGTTTCAAAACAAAAAGGGCTGAGGATATAGTTCAGTGTTACAGTGCTTGCCTAGAATGCATAAGGCCATGGGCTGAACTCTAGCATAGCAAAAAAAAAAAAAAAGTTGACAGTTTTATATAAACTGGCTAGCTTACATAAAAATAAATATTTCCCTCATGGAGTTTCAGGTTTTAAATACTGTAGAGATTTTGGCCTATAGTACAAGAGGGAAAGTTTCATCGTATGTGTCAGAGATTGCTAACTAAAATCACAAAAAAAATAAATAGGAGGCATTATGAAGACCAACAGAATATGTAACTCAAATATGCTATTGATAAACTGTTTCCTAGTTGAAAGAATATTCAACTTTAGACAAGTAGACTAAAATTACTAAAAAATCAGTACATTTAGCAATCAACACCTAGAATTACATGTTTTACCACCATTATTGTCCTTTATGAAAATTAGCTAGTCAGCTACATAAAATGAATATCTAAATTCAGGCTACTGTTAATATTCTACTTACTTAAACATATTTCTCTGAAGCTAAGTCAAATGTCTAAATTTAAGCTTGCTTATAATTAGAAATAGTCTACCTGCAGAGTCCAGACATTTTTCAATTTGTTTTTCCCAAAATCTACCTAGAGAATTGTTTGTTGCTTGCTACTGAGAACATTACTTCTCCAATTTTTTCCTCAAAAATTTGTGAGGTCTTTTTACTGGCATATGATCTTTAAGATTTTTAGGTTTTATGAGATAAGAAGACATAACTAGATAAATTTTATTGCATTATAATTCTCACCTCTCAAAATCTAGGAGAGGAATGTGTCTCTTTGAGTACAGAATTTAAATGCTTCTACTTTTCTTCTCTTTACAAAAAAAAGTTATCTGTACAAAGTACTTTCAAGTTTCCTAAATCCTAAAGATTTTAAAACCACAACAGCCAAAATTAAGAGAAGCAGTTAACATTTCCAATGTGTCTGTGGAAAGAACACTCAATTCCAGAACTTAATATGTGGGGTTAAAAAAAAAAAAGTGAAGTGAACAAAGATGCTCTTTTCATGCAACGAGGATCTAAAGATAACAATGGGGAAATATTCCAGATAAGCACAATACAGATTTCAGCCTGTGTGACTTGGTATGACTTCTCATCTTCTAATAATTTCAAAGTAGATTTTCTAAGCTAAAAGAGCAGTAGCAATAAATAAGCTATTGTGGCTAAAAGAACATAAAGGTTGATATTTGAGTATATATTAGAACAAGTGTCAAAAAATTTAATATCATTTTGAAGCCAAAAACTAGGAAGAAATGTTCGGGATTAAATCTGGGGTGAGGTGGGGTAGAGGAAGTTAAGTCCATAGAAAGCAAAATGTCTTAATAGAACAATGAAACATTTGGTACATCTTAGAATAAACAACTCTACAGTGAAGTCATTTTCAAAGGGAATTCTTTTATCTTTAAGGTGGGCATATAATAGATGCAACAAGATTGGCCATGTATTGATAACTATTTGAAGTAAGGAGAACATGGAGTTCAATTATATTCTTTTGACAGAGTGAGACCCCATCTCAAAGGAAGGAAACAAAGGAGGGAAGGAAAAAAGAAAAAAGTTCCCTTGTTTTGTTTTTCCAACCAAATATTACTAACAGATTATCTTGATAATCAAATTAACTCTTCTAAGTATCAATATGAAGCATTTTTCCATAGATTTTCCCAGTTATACCAAAGAACAAAAAAATTCAATTGGAGAGGGAAAAGAATTATATGCTATGATTAACAAATCCAAATCAATAAACTTTGACATAAAGCTTAAAGGCAAATATTAAAAAGCAAATAGGGTAGTGAAGTAACAAGTATGCCACCTACCTTCCACAGTGGACACTTGAACAAGTCAAACAGACCCAAGGGCTTTTGTTGGACCGGCACACTAATAAAAAGAAAAATACAATATAGCAATTATATCATGTTATTTCTCAATTTCTCCCCTAATCTGTAACACATATCCTGTGATCAAGTTATAAATTCCGAGGCTGTTTAGGTGCAATGAGTCATAAAACCTTGCTTTGTGAATGCAAATACAAACGGCTGCATTGAAAATAATATAAGTGCATGTCCACTATAGCTGCTTATTTTTTTTATTGGTTGTTCAAAACATTACAAAGCTCTTGACATATCATATTTCATACATTAGATTCAAGTGGGTTACCTTAGACAGATGGAATGGAATCTTAAAGAGGATATGAGACAGCAAATTCAAACAGCTGCTTATTTAAATTGTTTATTTAATTCAAATAGCTTAACCACAAGTTAAACACATATATTTTCTCCTTTATTACTTATTTTCTTTTACCACAGTCTCCAACAAGTTAATGATAGTCTATTTTAAGTCTAGTCTTCTAATCATACATCTTTGCCATGCAGGTCATTTACCACTATAAATAACAACTATTTCAGTATATTTAGTAAGAGGCACACCCTAAGGTTATAGTTATGAAGAGTAAGCCTAATTTTTTAAAAAGTAACTCTCTGTTGTGTAAAATACATGACAATGGCATATAATTCTTGCTAATATTATAATCAGGATGATATAATCAGATATAAGTAATATTATTTTAGGTATTACAGGAGTAGGACTGGCAAGGAGGAGTAAGAAAACATTTAAAATTCTGGTTAAATTTTTGTTTGCTTTTTACTCACTTGATTAAAAATATGTTCAGTACATGATTTTCAAAAGAAGAGCAATATAAAATCACCTGGAAGCCAGGCATGGTGATGCACACCTGAAATCCCAGCAACTGGGGAGGCTGAGGCAGGAGGATCACAAATTTGAGGCCAGACTCGGCAACTTAGCAAGACCCTGTCTCAAAATAAAGTAAAAGGGCTGGGGATGTGGCTCAGTGGTAGAGGACCTCTGTGTTCAATCCCAATTACCCCTATACACACACACACACACACACACACAATCACATGGAAAGCTTTTTCAAAACACCTCTATTCCACTGAGGCAAAGATAACAACACTAGGATTGAAAAAGTACAAGGATGAAGATGTATCTCAGTTGTAGAGCACTTACTTAGCCTACATGAGATGCTGGTTCAATCTCCAGTACCACCAAATAAAAAGAAGTGCAAAGAACATGCATATTTTGAGAAAAGCAGCTTCTCAGATGATACCCTAATAAAACCCCTTGAGAAGCACTAGTCAGCCTCCTAGAGATATGGGCAGGATACCAACAGCACAACCACACACTCAGGATCACACCTGGCTCTTAGTAGGAACTTAATAAACGTCTGTTAGAAATAAAGTTTAATTTTCTTAGTGTAGGAAACCATGCTTTCCAAAATCTGGCACCTACTTTCATCTTTCTTGCATTATCACCCATCACAAGCCTTTTTCACAGTCAAGAAACTGTAAATAAGGCAAATCAAGAATAAAGTACCCTTTTAATGTATCCAGAAACATTTATTTTAACAAGTTCTTCCAAAGATATTTAATTATAATACCACTGTTTGACCTGCCCTTTAAAGTAGTTTAGATTCCAAATTCTGTGATAATACAGATTAATTTGTAGATTTTTATTTTGTAGAGACAATTTCTAGACAGCAAACTCCCATCATTATGACCCTGTGATTATTAACCATTTGATTCCAATGCTCTTTCCTTAGTATCTATATACATAAGTTCCCAAATGCTCTGGGAACCAACTTTACCATTCTACTGGTTCCCTCATTAATAAGTCAAATAAATCTTTGATTATGTCCATTCTGTATTCCTATAAGAGGGGAGAAGGAAGGGGAAAAGCAGAATAAAGTGACATTCTGTCCAACAGACTCTCCCATCTGGCCAGAATAGGACTTGAACTGTTTTTGAAAATGAAAGCTTTGAGAGAGAAAATCCCCTTCAAGTTAGCCAAAGGCCCTCCCTCTTTCCTTAATACATTCACACATTTATCTTAATTGACAAGGCTATCCTTGAAGACATTTGAGTGTTTTACTGAACTATGTCCAATTCTATTACACATGCATGTAAGCTGCATGACAGAAAGACTTAAAAGAATGCCTACCAAACTATTAATAATTATTTAGGCAGGTACATGGGAAAACTATTGTAAGGGAAGACCATTGGCTTTGTATTTGCACATCTCTGTAGTGTTAGCCTCACATGAAAAGAATATGACATTTTTATAGTTGGAAAAAAGTCCAATAAAAAAGTACATTAAAATGTTGGGTACCGTGGTGCACACATGTAATCGCAGTGATTCTGGAGGCTGAGGCATAAGGATCACAGTTCAAGACCATCCTCAGCAACTGAGACCCTGTCTAAATAAGTTAAGTAAATGGGTGGAGAATATGGCTTAGTGGTTAAGTGCTATGGGTTCAATCCTTGGTACAAAAAATAAAAGTACATTAGAACAAAGCTTACTTGAATAGGTATTCATGGTTTGAGGCATACTTTGGAGGACTGGGAAAACAATATTATGCTTTTTTGTTCTATCAAGTCTTTGTTTTAGCAAGTATTAAGAAACATTGTAACTCAATCTGGAAAAAAAAAATGTTGAACCTTGTGTGTTAGAGTGGAAAATTGGGTGTTGAACTCAGGGGTGCCAGAATTATATCCCCAGGCCTTTTTCATTTAGTTTCAAGACAGGGTCTTCCTAAAATGCCCAGGTTGATCTCAAACTTTCAACCTTCCTATCTCAGCCTTCCAAGTAACTGGTATTACAGGCATGTGTCACCTGGCCCAGCTCTTGTCAAAATTTTATAGTATTCTGAAACAAATAATTATATTACAGTAGTAGATTTAGGCCCAAGTTAAGAATTCAAAGAGTTTTTAAATTATGCAGGATGCTCCCCTTTTTTCCCTTTGATTTGGAGCGTTTCCTACCAAGTGTTCCTTTTCCCCTTTTTTATAGTTACAAACATACACACAGTACAGTTTTGTGATCTTATTTTTCCTCTATTGCTATATGAGTGCATTTTCTCACATTATTGCTTTTAAAACAGGGTATTATATCTCTGGACTTAAAATAGCTCAAAAAACTATTATTAATTCTTAAAACTTCTGAGTTCCAAATTTTAAAATGATACACTAAGGTTTGGGGGGAAGAATTCAAATAATCCCTTAATAGTATGGGTTTTGAGATGATAAAAATGTTTTGGAACTAGACAGAGGTGGTGGTTGTGTAACAACTGTGGATGTACTAAATGCTACTGAATTTGTTCCCGTTTAAAAATGGTTGATTTTATACATGAATTGCACCTAAGTAGAAGATACCTACATATAATACTCTTAAGGCAAGGATGAAGAGGAAAAAATAAAATGAAATAAGGTTCTGAACTTTCAAAAAATTGGAAACAAGTGACTGTGCCTTTTTAATAAACCTAAAAATAAAAATAAAAAAAAAAATCCCTTCACTGATTCAAGAAATCTGATACCTTCTATCATTTATTATAAGAAAGTTGATGTGTGATAGAGCAGTTAGTCTTGGCTATTTAAATGACCGTACTCCCTGAGAGTATAATAGTCACAGCAAAAAAAAAAAAAAAAAAAATGTAAAGACTAGAAAACTATAGAGAATAGGGATATTATAGGGGATTCTGAAGCCAATAAATAGCATTGCTTTGGGAAATATTTACTCTGTTTATACCCCTTACCCCAGTTTAAGAACTGTTAGTATACCCAAGACAATTATAAGATGAAGGATACTTGCTTTAAATTAAACTAATTCTCCATTATTGTTAAGAATGAAACAGGTGGATGGAGATGTAGCTCAGTAGTAGAGTGTCTGCCTAACATGCTTGAGGCCCTGGGTTCAATCTTCAGTACTGGAAAAATTAAAATGAAGGAAAGAAAGATCATAGCATGAATGACAGAATACTACAGATCATCTTAAAATCATTTATTTGGGTCACCTTTAGGGAAAATGTCTTATTATTAAAAGGAGTTCCAATTTGTAGACAGATATGTTTCAAAAGTTTATCTGTAGTATGAATGCATTTCCCATAGAAACAGAATTAAAAGTTTCTAGGCTCTTCTATAAAATGCTACATGAAACTTAAATACTGGTACATGCACACATATGCATACACATGATTAAAACACACATAATAAAATATTTTAACTCTGAATACAGTATCTATTCAGCAAAACATAAAATAATTAAATCAAAGGGTTTTTAAAAAAAAATTTTTAGTCTTCTCACTGGTATTTGAGAGAAAGATGGAAACTCCTGGAAGTTCACAAAGTGATATCTGTAAATTAATAGGAGCTCTTTAATACACCTAATTATATCTCAAAGTGATGCTGAGGTAAAGAAACCATGCAATGTATTCTGCAAACAGTTACACTTGACCATAGCAAGGTCACTCGGCATTTCATAAATAAAGACTCATCTTTCATTCAGATTATAATTTTTTTCCAAACCAATGTATCCTTCTCCTTTAGTAAAGCTCTCCCATTTCCTTAGAGTCTCCTAACCCTAATTTCAATTTCATCTCTCAGCTTCTGTGTATCTTAGATCAATAACTGGCACTGTGAGGATTCCTTTCACTCTTCTCCTCTTCCTAGACAGCTCCAGAATCTTTCTCTCTCCCTGTTCCCATCTCCGCCTCCAGCTCTTCAAGTTGGGGGAAAAAAGACCTGTGTCTGGTAGGAATGAAGAACATCTTGATCCTCTCTAGAGCTTGGGCCATTTTCCAGAAGGCAGAAGCTATAACATAAGCTGGAAAAAATGGGTACAAGAGTCCCACCTCTAAAACATGCCTCAAACTCATGTCTTCTTTCTAAAGTCCAAAGCTTTAATTTTCCTGGAAACCAGAGGCTCAGAGGCAGAGGAAAAACATTTAAGTGACCTACAGATCAAATTGGTTTTACTCATATGAAGGAAATAGCAATCTGAGAGACAAAGGGCAGAACTATGAAATTCTG